TTTTAAACAGCGCCCGCTGCGCTGGGAGGGAGAGGGAGTCTGAGCTGTCTGCGGCAGCCCAGGGGTACCCCTGGGTCAGAGCTGCCGCACGGATCCCCGGGCCGGGGGGTGGGGGAGCTGCCGCAGGGGGGGCGCCTCAGGGCAAGGGGGGAGCTGCCGTGGGGGAGGGGGGGTGCAAGGTGGAAGTTTCGCCTAGGGCGCGAAACTTCCTTGCACCGGCACTGCATGGCCCTCCAGTTCTTTGCAATTGTCCAACCTGACTCAAGTGTGCTTTGTGTCTGTTTTGGTTGGGTTCGAATTACCTGCACCATGAATAAAGCCAGGACTCCTGGGTTCTGTTCCCAGCTCTGGGAGAGGAGTGGGATCTAGTGGTTAGAACATGGGGGGCCAGCAGCCAGGGCTCCTGGGTTCTGTCCCCAGCTCTGGGAGGGCAGTGGGGTCTAGTGCAGGCCCCAGCCCTGGGAAGCGCCCATGTGCTCTGGAGCCAGTGCTGTGGCCTGTCCTGCATCTCTGACTCCTTACCTGAGCCAGGCCTGAGTACACGCTCCCTATGGATTTATAGTCCAGGCCTTCGGAGCAGTTCACTATAATCACATACATGCCCAGGGCCTTGCCCAGGTCTTTCACAGTCGCCGTTTTCCCTGTGCCGGCAAGGCCTTTGGGAGATCCTGCTCGGTGGAGGTGGAGGGCTGTGGTCGGTTATGTAGCACCTGGAAAGAGAGAGGGGAGACCACACATCAATCTCCCTGCTTTCCCCACCCCGCCCCCCGGGCCATCGGCCACTGGGATCTCCTCTCTCCCTCCCTCTGATGTCCACTCTTCTCTTCTCCTGCCTTCCCCCGTCCTGCCCATCCAGCCCCTCTGCCTCTGGAAACAGACCTAAGCTGAAGCCATTTAAGTGTACTGCCAGTAGCTCAGCAGTTAGTCCCTAGCTCTCCTGTAGCACTTTCCTTGGGAGATCTCAAAGCACGTGGCCTCGTCAGTTTCACTGTCAGGGATCAAGTGATCACCTTAGAATCATAGAATATTAAGGTTGGAAGTGACCTCAGGAGGTATCTAATCCAACCCCCTGCTCTCAAAGCAGGACCAACCCCAACTAAATCATCCCAGACAAAGCTTTGTCAAGCTGGGCCTTAAAAACCTCTAAGGATGGAGATTCCACCACCTCCCTAAGTAACCCATTCCAGTGCTTCACCACCCTCCTAGTGAAATAGTGTTTCCTAATATCCAACCTAAACCTCCCCCACTGCAACTTGAGACCATTGGTCCTTGTTCTGTCATCTGCCACCACTGAGAACAGTCCAGATCCATCCTCTTTGGAACCCCCCTTGAGGTAGTTGAAGGCTGCTATCAAATCCCCCCTCATTCTTCTCTTCTGCAGACTAAATAACCCCAGTACCCTCAGCCTCTCCTCGTAAGTCATGTGCTCCAGACCCCTGATCATTTTCGTTGCCCTTCGCTGGACTCTCAAATTTGTCCACATCCTTTCTGTAGTGAGGGGACCAAAACTGGACGCAATACTCCAGGTGTGGCCTCACCAGTGCCGAATAGAGGGGAATAATCACTTCCCTTGATCTGCTGGCAATGCTCCTCCTAATGCAGCCCAATATGCCGCTGGCCTTCTTGGCAACAAGGGCACACTGCTGACTCCTATCCAGCTTCTCGTCCACTGTAATCCCCAGGTCCTTTTCTGCAGTTGAGGGAGTCGAGGCTACGCTTATATGGGCATATTCAACGGAGACCAGGGAGTTATATCACTGTCTGGGCAGCTGGAACTCACACGTAGCAGGCCGGGCCCTGGTGCCAGCCAGTGCAGGGGGCTCTGGGACATGGGCACCTGTCTGCTAGGGACTGGAATAAGGCAGAGCCATCCCATAGTCTGAGTGCTTCCGAGCCGCCTGTTGTCTGCAGCTGCAGAGACCAGAGGAGCAGGCATGGGGCCCGCTCCCCATGGCCTCCCCAGCCCAGCACCTCCCACCTGCTGCGGCTGACACAGCCTCTGGGCCGACCCATCAGTGGGAGCCGGTCCCTCAGCACCCCGGCCCTTCCTACTGCTGGCGATGGGTCGGGGCCTGGAGCAGTGGAGGCAGCTTGGCTTCCAAGCTCCCCCGCTG